CACCGCCCCAAAACAGCACCAGCTGCTAGGAAACAAGTGTTCAAAACAAGAACCTGTCTGGGACACTGCAGACAGTGTCAAACCATGGCCTCCCTGATTCCACATGCCCGTGGTGGAGTTGAATACAAATGTTCTTTCTCACAGCTCTGGTAGGACACGTGAGTCAGCCTGAATCTTCCAAGTACCACTTTTCTCTGGGAGTGAGAGGCCCTGACCCAAGAGAGTCAGAGTTTTTTCTGGAACTGTCAGACCCAGTTGAGAAATGATTCTTCATGAGGCGGTTGACCTGGCACTCTGTTCCCTGGAGCTGGTAACCAGCGAGGGACAAAGCTTTCAGTTAATTTCAAGAATGTCAATGAATTCCTTTGAAATTTAAGCTGCAGGAATTTGCTTCCTGTCACTGGCCAACCAGAGCCCTGGCTAGTATGAGTAAATCTGATAGGATTATACATACATCCGCTATAGTAATCAAAGATTGATGGATTCATATGTAAGCTGAAATTCAGCCGTAGTTGCAGATGTGTTATTGGAAAAGAACTAAGCCCAAAGCTGCTGGTGGAGCGTGCATCCCTACACATGCCCGTGCTACTGGACCACTGGAGTCTGACCCAAAAGGTGCCAAAAGGGTCTTTTGGGGCTAGGGGCCCGGGGAAGCCTTTGTTTCCTCTCCCCACCCTCTCTGTCTGAAATGCAGAAGCCACCCCAGGAGTGCAGCAGGCAGCCTGAGAGCTTGAGGGTCAAACCTCCTGCTGGAGGTGCAGGTGCTGATGGAGAAAGGCGGAAACAGCCTGCTGCCGAGGCTGCTGCTGCTGCTGCTGCTGCTGCTGCCGCCACCGCCGCCTCTGCACTGGCCAAGGTGGCCTTTCTTCCATACACCTTTCTCTGCGCATGAGTAAAACTAACCCGATCTGGTTATTGCACGTAGCCAGATGTGACTCTAAGTTGGACAACCCCCTTCACCCATTATATTCAAAGTTCTTGGAATTTTGGATCAGGTGGATAACATTCGGAGACTCGCTGCCATGGACCAATCAGGTCGGGCTGCTATGCCAGACTTGGCTCTCTGGATCCACTCCCTACCTCTGTTGTAACAAACAGTGGCTTCAGATGACAGATTGATTATTTGGCACAAGTCTAGATATTAGAAGTCCTCAAACCAAGTTGTCAGCAGAGCTGCTTCCCTCGTAGAGGATTTAGGGATATCCACTTTGTCTTTTGAAGCTTCCAGGGGCCTCCTGTTTCCCTTGGTCCATGCCGCCTTCTTATTCAAGGCTGGAACTGTAGCACACACACACCCATTGCTCTTGGCATATCTCCTTTGCTTCTCACTCCCCTGTCTCTTACTTCCTTTAATGATAACATTTGTGATTATGTTGGGCCCACGGGATCAGCTAGGCTAATCTCCCCACACTGTCATGGGTATAATCACACCTGCAAAAGCCCTCTTTCAGCGTATAAGCTAATGTGCTTGCAGGTTCTGGGTATCAGGATGTAGAAATTTCAAGGGGTCACTGGCTTTTTTCTGTCTACCTAGAGAGCGACAGTGATTGTCCAGGTCCCACACAGAGCTGGTTGAGAGGCCAGAACTGCACAGACATGCTCATCACTGGCAGATGTGGCAGAGGTACCCTCTATCCTCCCGGGCATGACTCTTGAGTCAGAGATTCTTTTTTTTTTTTTTTTTTTTTTGGTTTTTCGAGACAGGGTTTCTCTGTGTAGCTTTGCGCCTTTCCTGGAACTCACTTGGTAGCCCAGGCTGGCCTCGAACTCACAGAGATCCACCTGGCTCTGCCTCCCGAGTGCTGGGATTAAAGGCGGTTCGCCGCCGCCGCCGCCGCCGCCGCCGCCGCCGCCACCCGGCAAGTCAGAGATTCTTTCAAGGTCCACTTCCGATGTCCTGTCTGCTTAGAAGCCACTGTTGCCACCCATGGCCCACAGCATCCGTCCTCTAGCCTGTATCTCAGTTACTCATTGTCACTTGGCACACATCAACCCAGCCATCCTGAAGGTGTTGTCTTATCTTCTGACCATCTTCATCTCTGAAGGCAAGATAACATCTTTGGCCTCTTTGCACAAGAGCCCACTGCATGGAGCAGAGGCTTCTGGCAGATTCTTCGGTCAGACTCACTCAGCTCCTACCCTGCAGTCTGGAGAGACCCAGATTCCCTTGCAGACTAGACTGGGTGCCGTCCAGCGGGATGTTGGAAGGGGAGGGGTAAGCACAGGAAGGCAGGGTTGAAAGTGTTTGGCTCTTCTGCTGAGGCAAAGGGTGTTTGTTCTGTTAGGTCCCTAACGTCTTACAAACAGGCAATGGAACAGGACTCTCCAAGGAGCAGAGCGTGCAGCCATTTCTCGTAGATGTACGACTCCTGGCTAATTGGGACTCCAGCCGGATTCTTCAGCCTCCACCCTCCAAGCCCCAAATCTGTAAGCTCCTTCTTGCCTGGTGAGCACAAATCTCCTCTAGCTGGAGTGGCTTCTCTCTATGTATAGTTTAATACTAGTCTCTGGCATAGTAAACCCGCTCCGGGTAGACTGTACACCTTTTATTTCTCTTGCAAATAGTTCCTCCAGTAAGCTCATCAAAAGAATAATGCACAACTCATTGGAATGGGTTAAAGTTCTAACATTCTGTGGGGCTGGAGAGATGGCTCAGTGGTTAAGAGCACTGGACAGTCTTTCAGAGGACCCTGGTTTCTTTCTTCTCTTCTTCTTCTTCTTCTCCTTCTTCTTTTTGTTTTGTTTTGTTTTTCGAGACAGGGTTTCTCTGTGTAGCTTTGTACCTTTCCTGGAACTCACTCTGTAGCCCAGGCTGGCCTCGAACTCACAGAGATCTGCCTGACTTTGCCTCCCGAGTGCTGGGATTAAAGGTGTGCACCATTGCCGCCAGGCGGACCCTGGTTCAATTCCCAACATCCATATGGCAGTTCACCATGGTCTGTAACTCCTGTTTCAGTAAATCTGATGTCCTCTTCTGGTCTCTGTGGGTACCAGGCATGCATGTGATATACAGACACCCATGCAGACAAAACACCCACACACACATAAACTGACGAATTCTTTTTTTTTCCTTTTATTTTATTTTACAATACCATTCAGTTCCACATATCAGCCACGAGTTTCCCTTTTCTCCCCCTCCCCTTACCCCCAGCCCACCCCCATTCCCACCTCCTCCAGGGCAAAGCCTCCCCTGAGGACTGAATCAACCTGGTAGACTCAGTCCAGGCAGGTCCAGTCCCTTCCTCCCAGGCTGAGCCAAGCGTCCCTGCATAAGCTCCAGGTTTCAAACAGCCAACTCATGCAATGAGCACAGGACTTGGTCCCACTGCCTAGTTGCCTCCCAAACAGATCAAGCCAATCAACTGTCTCACCTATTCAGAGGGCCTGATCCAGCTGGGGGCCCCTCAGCCTTTGGTTCATAGTTCATGTGTTTCCATTCGTTTGGCTATTTTTTTTTTCAATAATTGAGTAAAACCGAAATTTATTATAAGCCACAGTCGTCTTAGGGACCTCCATGCTATATATATATAGCCTCTATGGTTCTATGGGTTGTGGTCTGATTGTTCTTTATTTTATATCTAGAATCCACTTATGAGTGAGTACATACCATAACTGTCTTTCTGGGTTTGGGTTACCTCACTAACTGACGAATTCTTTATCCTTTCTGTTCACAAGAGCCTGGAATGGAAGCAAAATGTGGTCCCTCTCCTTTGAACTCTCAAATTTCTCAAATAGAAGAAGTCATTTCCTCATTTCAATTTCATTACTTCATGGGGCAGTCCAGGAAACCCCTCTGTTTCTAGACCGATGTTTGTGGCCAACATGATATAACGTTAATGAAGTGTTAGAATTCATTCAAAAAATTGCGGCTTTCACACACTGTCATTCTCATTTTCTTCCACCCCTATTACTATGGTCTTTATTTTTCCAAGGCTGTTGCATGCATGCAACTTGGGGATTTTGTTTTTCTTTTTTTTTAATAATTTATTTATTTTTATTTTGTGTACATTGGTGTTTTGCCTACAAGTATGTCTGTGTGAGAGTGCCAGATCCCTTGGAACCAGAGTTACAGACAGTTGTGAGCCACCACGTGGGTGCTGGGAATTGAACCCGGGTCCTCTGGAAGAGCAGCCAGTGCTCCTAACCACCGAGCCATCTCTCCAGCCCCCGGATTTTTGTTTTTCATATAATGTTAAAACAGAAGAGTTTTCCAAGGTTGTTGCCTGGTATCTTTTTTTTTTTGTTTTTGGTTTTTCAAGTCAGTTTCTCTGTGTAGCCCCGGTTGTTCTGGAACTTGTCCATAGACCAGGCTGGTCTCAAATTAAGAGAGATCCACTTGCTTCTGCCACCCAAGTGCTGAGATTAAAGGCGTGCACCACCATCACCAGGCTAGTCTTTCTTTTCAACGGCACATTTCTTCTAGCATCCGTAATATTGGATCTACATTAATTTTCTTCTAGCTTGCAGACATCTTGTTTGCACTCCTTTAGTGTTTCCAAGGAGCGGGATTGTGCCAACTACTCAATTGCTTCCAAGATGTCTTCCCCTCTCTCTCACTTTTGAGACAGAACCTCAGTATTGAGGCCAGGCTGGTCTCCAACACTTAAAAATTCATTTATTTAATCAATATGTATGTGTACCTGCACTCATGGAGCTCTGGAGACAATGTGCAGGAATTGGTTTCCTCCTTCTATCATATGGGTCCTGGGATTCAACTCAAATTGTTAGGCTTCCTTGACCCCTGTGGCATCTCACTGACCCTAGCCTCACACTCTCAATCCTTCTGGGATTATAAGTGAGAGCCATCCCTCCCGGGCTGTTTTACTTTTCATTTCAATTTGCCTCGCCTCGACTCTTAGGGAGGTGTTCTGAGGGACGTGTTCTCAGCTTCTCTGCTATGCTCTGAAGATCCCAGCCTCCGAAGAAACGCAGCCAAGTGCCAGGCGGGTCCACGTGATTCCGGGTTTGCGCCCGGCCCGCCAGCTGCGGACTACATTTCCCAGGCAACCCCGCGTGGAAGGCGTGGCCGCGGGATACTGGCGGCAGCAACGCCGAGTCTGGGTGTACAGCAGGACGCGATGGCTACGTGGGCCGAGCGGCTGGCGGGCGTGCGGGGAGTGCTGCTTGACATCACTGGCGTGCTGTATGACAGCGGCACAGGCGGCGGAGCCGCCATTGCGGGCTCCGTGGAGGCGGTGGCGAGGTTAGTGGGCTCAACGCAGGGACTGTCGGGCTGTGCTGCTGCCGGGGGCGGGGCGTTCGCGCCGGACCCGCCTCCCCCGCACTGGTCCCGCCCCTCACGCTGGCTAGGAACCAGGTGGGAAAGGTTGTGTTAGCGCTTGGCTTCCAAAGGGTTGGAGCTGTCCTTTGGAAGCAAGTGAGCAGTTGAACTTGGTTAACCTGCAAGTAAAATACAGATTCAAAAAGGGATATTGCAATATTAATATGTTAGGCCAGTGAGATGGCACTCACTAACAATTGCGTTAATCCGAGATCAATCCCTGGGATCCACATGGTGGAAAAAAAGAAATGGCTGCTGCAAGCTGCCTTCTATCTGACCTCCACATAGTGCTCCACCCTAAAAATAAGTAAATGGAAAAGTTACTTTTAAATATTTCGTTATGTTGCTTACATGTTTAAATGGCCATTTTAAATATACTAAGCCAGTAAACTATTTTAAATGTTCCACCTGTTTCTTTTAACTTAGAAAACTTTAAATCACATATGTGGCTAGCTGTCTAATTCTTATGTATTGGTTTTGATTTGAGGAGGAGAAGATGTCTGGTTCTTCAAGCCTGCCCATGCAGGACCTGCCAGGGACCACCATTGGCATTAAGTCTGAGCGATTTGCCTTTGCTGTCCCTAGCCAGTATTGTGTAAAGTTGATGAACAGTTGGAAGGGGCTCGTTGTCTAGCAGTCAGCCTCCCAGAACCTAACTAGGACTGTTTATTTACCTGCCGTTGAGTAAGTCCTTTGATCCTAAGAGTCTCTCCCCTACTTATCTGTGTGTGTGTGTGTGTGTGTGTGTGTGGAGAGAGAGAGAGAGAGAGAGAGAGAGAGAGAGAGAGAGAGAGAGAGAGAGAGAGAGACTTGAGGGATAGTACTGATGAGATTATAAGGCCTCAAACTGTGTTTTGTAGCAAAGTAAAAGGGGCTGGTGAAGGACATCGACTCCTAGGAAACACCTGGGCCCTCTGTGTGGGCCGAAGTCCAGGTTTACCTGTCTTTCTTTCTGGCTTTTACATATTCTCCACTAACCCCAGAATGTAGGACTGCCTGTGTTACAGTGAGCCTTGTGTGTTGAGCGTTATGTGGAGGCCCCTCTTGGAATCAAGTCAGACACTGGACAATATTTTGAAGTGAAGTGGCTTCATGTAGGCAGAGAAGGTGAAGAGACCTTCATGAGGGTCTCATCTGAAGGGAAGGTAGACGATGTTTTGTGATCAAATGAATACATTGAGTCACCATAGATCAGAAGTGAAAACAGCTCTTCTTCATACAAGCCAGGGAATGGTGCCACCCACAGTGGCTGACTCTTCCCACTTTAATTAACAAATGAAGATAGTCTACCCACAGACATGCCCAAATGCATGTCCCCTGGATGATTCTAGATCTCATCAAGTTGACAATTGAGATTACCCCTGTTATACATGCATATCCACAGACATGTACACACACATGAACTTGTACACATGTACAAATAAGTACAATGAAAATGAGATTTCCTTTGACAAGAGAGCCCTTACGTCTGTGCCTCAGAATATCCACAGACATGTACACACACATGAACTTGTATACATGTACAAATAAGTACAATGAAAATGAGATTTCCTTTGACAAGAGAGCCCTTACGTCTGTGCCTCAGAATATATAAATAAAAAAGTCAGCAACTGAATGGGAATAAGGACAAATGACACAGTCATTCACCAGGAAAAAACATCAGTGACCTCCTAAGCATATGAAAAACGTTCCACCTGGCAATAGTTCTACTTCTGGGTAGTTGTCCTGCCTTGTTTATGAGAAATATAAGGTGGTTATGTCTTTTGACCAAGTCATAAAAGACCAAGAAAAACCACTCTCCATCATTAGGGCTACTGTTCCTTTGTCCACAGGAGACACCATACAGTGTGAGTGAGCACTTTTCCTTTTAGATACATTGTTAGTGAGGACAGCAATCACGTGTCTCCTCTTTGGATTGGATAAATTGCACATGTTCCCACTGCTGTTTTTGCATAAATCCTGGGAAGACACCTACTATTTTGGGAGTAAAGAAACAGGGTTCAAGTAGAGAGAAGTGGATAGTGGGGATAAGTGTGCGAGAAAGACCCTTCATTGTCCAACTTTGCATAGCAACATTGTTAAAGCTTTTGAACCATTAAAAAAAAGCAAAAAAATAAAGTCAGCCAGGTGGTGGTGGTGCACTCCTTTAATCCCAGCACTCAGGAGGCAGAGTCAGGCGGATCTCTGTGAGTTCGAGGCCAGCCTGGTCTACAGAGTGAGATCCAGGACAGGCACCAAAAAATTATACGGAGAAACCCTGTCTTGAAAAACAAAACAAAACAAACAAAAAAAGTAAAGTCATAATATGTGGCTATAGGCAAACTTTTCTGTCTGGCCAGCCAATTCCCAAATAACCATACAGAGTCTTAGTAGTAATTATAAATGCTCAGCCAATAGCTTAGGCTCATTTTTTTTTTTTTTTAGCTATCTCTTATAATTTAAATTAACCCATTTCTATTAGTCTATATGATGCCCCAAGGCTCGCTTACCTCATCCTACTCTCATGGTGTCTCCTCAGACTCTGCCTTCTTCTTCCCAGCATCCTCTGTGCCTGGCTGTCCCGCCTATACCTTCTGCCTAGCTACTTGCCAGGCAGTTCTTTTATTAAACCAATCAAAAGGTGCCTTGGCAAAGACACATCTTCATAGTGTACAAAAAGATTGTTCCATTAACATGTGGCTTTATTCAGCTATGGGGTGAAGAATGGTGTTAAAAGGCCATGAAGCTGGGAGTGAGGGAGGAGCCATGGTGGCTAGTTTAGACACTTAAAGTGGCTGAGGGAGGAGACAGTCAAGTTGGGAACAGAGAAAGAGGTATTTTTAGAAGTAGGTCTAGTGGGACTTTTTCCAGCGTGGGTATTGTAGGGCCAGAGAGAACAGGAAGTGAAGTAGAGTCAAGGCAACAGGAACTTGAGGAGGCAGCTGGTCACATGGCTTCTGCAGTCAGGAAACAAGAGAGATGAATGCTTACACTTGGCTAGCTTCCTGCTCTTTATGAAGTCCAGGACCCAGGCCTAGGGAATGGTGCTGTCCACTTTTAGGGTGGGTCTTCCCACCTATGTTAACAAAATCAAGAGAATTGCTCACAGACATGCTCAGAGGCTTGTCTTCTATGTGATCCCATCAAGTTGATTATCAAGTTGATAATCAGTATAAACCACCACATGCCTTTACTATTCTTCTAAAGTCTGAACCACTTGAAAGCAACAGATTGCTTATTAAAAAAAAATCTGTAGCCCAGGCTGACATCAGACTCAAGATCCTTCTTTCTCAGCCTCCTGAGTGCTGGGATCATGCTGTGTGCCAACAGGCCTGGTTAAAAAATTACTAAAGTACATTCTGCATCTAGAGAACATTCCTATTGTGCACGTAACACCCAATTCATCTCACTCTCTTGTGTGAGCATCTCAGAAAGCCCCCTCCATGCTCCCCAGCCCAGGGCAGCCTATTGGTGAAATTATTAAAGCCACTCCATATAGTTAAAAGGAAGATTTATTTAGTGGGTAACTTACAAAAAGGGAAAGGTAGGTCGTGGGGCCTGGGGAAGGTGTATCGAAGTCCAGCGGTGTTCTCTGGAACTCTGCTCAGTCAACCTCCACCATCAAGGGTCCAGGAACAGAGAGAGCCTGGCCCATCCAGATCTTGGGTCTCCAGGTGCCTCCCTTGGCCCCGCCTTGTAGGTGTGACAGTTGCCGAAGCCTCAATGGGGGTTGAAACTTCCAGGTCCAAGCTGGAATGGCTACCCACTATAGCAGCCACTGCTTTGCCCTCTAGCCCCATAGGTTATTTTTGCTTGTGACTCTGGATATTGTGGGGCCAGAGAGAACACGAAGTGAAGGGGACTCAAGGCAGCAGGACCTTTAGGAGGCAGCTGCTCACATGGCTTCCGCAGTCAAGAAATCCCAGAATGTGTGTCCCTTTTGATGGCGGTCCCTTTTACCTGCTGTTACTTGTGAGAGATCTGTTGTATCTGTGGAAAGTGGTTTGTAGATGGCTCGATTGTGATAAGCATGCTTCCGTGGAGTGATGTCTTACTGTTCTACTGTGAAGAGACACCATGACCAACTTACAAAAGAAAGCATTTAATTGAGGGGTTGCTTATGGTTTCAGAGGGTGAGTCCATGACCATCATCCAGGGGAACATGGCAGCAGGCAGGCAGGTAGGCATGATGCTGGAGCAGAAGCTGAGAGCTCACATCTGATCCACAAGCATGAGGCAGAGAGAGCTACCTCGGAATAGTGTGACCAATGACACACCTCCTCCAACAAAGCCACACCTCCTGATCCTTCCTAAACAGTTCCACCAACTGGGAACCAAGTACTCAAATATATGAGCTTGTGGGGGTGGGGTGGGAGGGGGGGTCTTGTTCAAACCTCTACAAATGATGACACAGTTCGTGCACGCCTCTATTTCCTATTTGGGTTATTGCAGCTGGTGTTTTGGAGAGTGTGTGCATGTGTCCTAGAGGGTGAGCATCCCTGGAACATGGCAGTGTCCGAGTGGAGTAGCTGAATTAGAAGGCAGGCGTGTGTTTGATAAGTGCTGCTAGGGAGTTCTCCAAAGTGGTTGTGTCGTTTGTATCTCACGTCAGCAGTGTACAAGGGTCCTGGCTGTCCTCTTTCCTTCCCTGTATTCAGCTTGTCTGTCCTTGGAGGGTCGGAAGAAACACTGAAGGAAGACCCCAGACTCAAATAGATGCGAGAACAAAGAATGTTTATTGCACCACTTGCAAGTGGGGTCGCTCACCTGTACAAAAATGGCGACGACCCCCAGAGGAACGTGGAAGCTCCTTTTAAGCACCGCTAAGGGGAGTTTCAGGGTCAGCTACATAATTGGTTACATAAGAGGTTACATGAGTATATTTTTAATTGGCTGAGGTTTAGTTTTATCATTTTTGGACACATCTGCACGAGCTTGGCTGGGACTCAGAAGGGGCTGCTGGGTTTGTCCTTGAGACACCGTGAGGGTAACTTTGCCCTCTCTGTTCGTTCTCTCCCTCGACCCTGAATGTGGGGGCCTTGGAGATAAACGGCCCT